AAGCGAGCTGTCAGCCAATCAGCTTTGCTTTCACAAGCAAACCAGTATGACTGAGGCTATAAGGTTCTGCTTGATACTTTTATATTAAACTTTATTGAGATAAGAGCCCTGGGATCCCAGGTCCGCGGTTGCACCACTCCCAAGTGGGGACCCTGCAGGGCCAGGAGGGTATACCATTGGAATTAAACACTGAAGTTGTTCCAACAGAAGCTGAATCATTACGATAGTTTGCAGTATGTGCTTATGGTAGTTGGTTCTGCACAGGTTTTTGCCGCTGATCATTGAATTGTGGCACTTCAACCTTGTTCCTTGGGCAGACCAATAGCAAACAATTAAGATCAACACTTGCTTATTAATAAGAAAATGTGCGGGGCATGCATAAATAAATAATATTGTTTAATTTGCTAAATACAAAAACAGCAGTATTTCTGTGAGGTACTTTGGGCAAAAACAGCCATATCCAATTCTCCATTCCTGTTCAGGTAACGAAATACAGGAATTGAGGCTGTTCTGAAAGTTAAGAGAGACCCAGTTATCCCTTCTCCTTTTGTTTTCTGAACATGCTGCACATTCTAACAGCAGAACTGACCAAAAAACCTTTTTAAGGTTTCTGGCTTAAGGACAGATCTATGCGGTGCCAGTAAACAGCTTTATTAATGACTTTGCAGAATAAATTCCCATGGCATTAAATCTGACTTTATTACCACTGAATAGCAAAAGTTTATGTTGGCTGTTCGACCAGATCTTGCAAAACTATATAGACCTTTTGCTGTTTTGCAGCTGTTTGTCATTTTCATCTATAGCCTTAAATGCACTGATTGGAACTATGTGATGATCGACAATAAATAACTCATAACTGTGAAGTTCAGGAACAATAATGTGGAATTTTCCTGTTTCTTTTTAGAGAAATATCGAAACAGAGTGATATGCATTCTAGATATTTGTTATAGAACATAAGTTAACAAACAGAATAATGGAGACCAACAAATACAGCAAATAGGTCAGGGGGGAAATTAGCAATAGTTTAAAGCAGAGTTATGTTAAGAAAAAAAGTTTAAGGTTTGAATTCTCACAGAGTTCCGTTCAATCCATCATCTGACTATTAAATTACTAAAGGGTAAAAGGTCGATCTATAAAGAATGGGGAAAAAAAGTTAAACTATGGCAGATATTTACTCTCCAGAGGGACTTCAACCGTAAAACACATGCAGAGCTGCAATCAAAATGTTACCTTCAAGCCATATTAATGTGGTGGGCCCTGTCAAAGTCCAGACCTGAACCAATAACTGAATATCTGCAGCTTTTTTAAATAAAATAGTTAAAAATATCACCATAGTCTTACGTAAAAGCAGAGACTGACTCATACTTATACTGACTCAGAAAGTCATTTAAAGTAGAAACTTTACATTTAAACACAGCTTTTTTTGGTATATCTATAGCAAACTTCCAAGCATTTCAGATTGTGGTGGTAATATCATTTGTAAAAAATGGAGAGCTACACAGCTGCATCTGTGAAAATTCAGAGGACTCCATCTGTAAATGATTTTCTAAACTTCTAAATTGGCCTTGTAATTTATGGGCAACTTTTCCTCCACTTTGAATATTTTGTGGAGAAATTATCCCACATCCAAATACAAGATTACTTCAGAGGATACGTTAGTTGCACATGCATCAGCAAGGTAATGACTTCAGCCTGTCTGTTGTTGCAGTGGGACAAAAAAACAACAAAAAACAAGGATGGTGCAACAGCTTGGCTTTTAGCAGCTGTGCAGCTTACGCTCCTCATCGTTCCTATTATCAAGATTGATGCTGTGATGATCAAAACTGGCCCACGATAAAAAGAGCGGCATCAAAAAAGAAACCTGAGAGACCTCACACAAAAAGATTTTTTTTTTCTGTGCACAGATGGGTTTGGAGATGCTAATAGTATTTACACACCAGCAGTGAATGGTCATATTTACATGAGAAGGAATCGTAATCCATACTTTAAGCAATAAAAAAAATATTACATTTGGGTTCATTTTAAAGTTTGAGGCTGAAGAAAGAGAGAAAGAGAGACAGAGGCTAAAATAAACGCTAAATTAACCTGAACCGGTATCTTCTTCATAATATTTGACTGATATTTGAACCCTGTAGTCCTAAGTGTATCGTAGCTTATACATGAGTTTTCAGAACTCTATGTATCAGTCTGGTGCTTTGTTTTGTTCTTTAGCAGAAGGAGCAGTGCACATACTGCATGGAAATGCCTAATGTGCTAAATATTATATTATTTAAAACAAAATGCAAATTGATATCTACCTTTTCATTTATCCTTTCTCATGTGATAGGAAGACTTTAGTGTAAGAAAAAAATCAAATTTTCTGACCATTATTTCATGATTCAGGCTTTATGGGGCTGAGACATTTCTAATCAGCTATTTTGACGTGGAATAGCATGACTAAAAATTCGACATGCCTACAGTCCCAAAGGTTCTTTCATAAAGATGGTTTCTTCTATTTACCTTATTACCATCACCCAGTGCTGCTCAGCTATGGTTACCTGTCAAAAGTAAGAGCTACCAATTAACATCAGAGAATTTCTAGATGCATCTAACATAGAAGTTAAAAACAATGAAAAATGGAGACAATATTGTCAGTTTGCAAGAAATTTTGTTTTGTATGACAGTTGTTCACTTAGATAAAATGATCCTGCCTCCTATCAAGCATGAAATAAAGGATTTTTTTGTTTTTGTTTAGTTGCTTCTTTTTTTGAATTTTTACTCTTTCTTAATTAATCTTATACCACCGGAAAGCTTGCAAAAGGCATTTTTAAGTTATCCAGGCTCCAGATAGGCAGAACTAAACATTTAATGTAGGGGTGGTTATCAGTTATCTGCATTTTGACTTTGTGAACATTAATATGTTTAGGAGGCTTTGGGCAAAAGAAGTAAAGATTTGTGTGTTCTGTAATTTGCGATTTGTAAATAATGAAACAAAAACTATGACAAAATCTAGAAAAAATTGGTGGTGTGTGTATAAATACTTTATTTTCCAGTTGTCACATTTCCCTGTATTATGCATTTGTATTTTTAAAATGAGTAAGGTCATTTACGTCCTGTCTTAGTCTTAATAATCTTTCCTCCTTTGTGTCTCCCCCAGTTATATTTCCTGCCATGCTTTTGAATGAATGAATGAATGAATGAATGAATGAATATTTATTTGTAAGACCATCTTCCTTTTCTTTCCCGTCTCTAATTTTCTCCCAAATTTTCTGCAGTTCTTGATTAATTATCCACTATGTTTTACTTAAATCTAAAGATCTAAAGTTCTTCCTATATTTGGGTGGTTTGCAAAGCAATGTTACATAAAGCACCGGGGTTGGAAAATAATTAATTACATTTACTCACATTAGTGTACCTAAGTACAATTTTCTGTATTTTGCATTTAAAAGTAGTTTTACAAATAGTAAACTAACTTCTTCTTGGGTAGGTTATAAGTTAAGTATTTCCTTAGTTGCATTTAAAATACATGTTTCTAAATAAAAGTAAAAACTAGGTAAAATGAAAGGAAATGTACAAAAGAAGGAAAAGCCCAGTTATGCTTCATAGCTACTGGGAAAGGATGTGAAGGGCATGGTGCAGCAGAGAAGGATGCTGGGATGGAAGAAATTATCAGCTTTGGAGAACCCTGCAACCGAAAACAGCTGCTAAAAAAAGAACTTTGGAAAATTAAATTTTATCCCATAAACAAAACCACAGTACCTTTCAAAGATTTTTTAATTTTTGATGTAAAGTGCCTCAAGACAACTGGGGCTGTGAATAGGAACTATATAAATAATTTGACAAATTTTACTTTTGTGTTGCATTTGCTTTTATAAACATGCTTCTTTAATTATAAACAGTTTTAAACCAATATCTCCTATTTTTCTTTTTGTAATTAATGGGAGCGTTTCATCTTTTCACAAATAAGTGACCAAGTAGCTTTTACTTTTTAACTTTAAAGTCATAGGGAAAAGTCGTAGGGAAGCGACTTTTCCAAATGTTGCATATCCGAGGGGTGGCCGACTTAACACCAGTGAATAAAGTGAATGTGATTGGTCGTTTATCAAGGGGGCGGGATTGTTGTGGCAGAAGGCTTGCAAGCATGTTTAGTTGGGGCCAGTGTCTCGGAAGCATCCTGCTAACCAGTTAGCAACTTAGTGCTAGTAGGTTCCCAATGGGAAATAACATTGGGACCAAGTAGCACTAAATTGGTGACTTAGAAACAACACTGTCAAGGAACGCTATGGACAGAGGAAACATGCAAGAGGAGGAGAGTTTTGTGTTGCAGGTCATGGATGAGTCTCCTCCGTCATACANTCGTTGCATATATTAGCTGCGACATATGAATCAAGATGCTATGACCGTAAAAATTTGATTGACAGATGATCGTTGATATATGATTGGCCGAATTTAGGTGTACAAGCTGATGTATAACTAACTGGCCTGCATAAGATAACGAAAAAAACCCAAAGATTTTAAGAGGATTAAAAAAAAAAAGAATCTAAATTTGGGACAATATCATCCGATAAAGAGTACATTTCTATACACGTTTTAGCCAGAATGATTTGACATTTAAGTATGATTTCCAACGGCTTTAAACTTTTACTGGGGTAAAACTTCACAATGGTAACTTTCCTTGTTGCTAAGGAAAATTGCATCAAAGTAACTGTAATTTGCCTAAATCATTTTTATTCTACCACGGCAGAACACCAGCTACTGCACAATAGTGACCTGGGGCTGTAACATGTCTATCATAGGGTTGGCGGGGTCAATCAGATTTGAGATGAGATGGCTCCACCCCTGTAGATAAGATTCTGTTACCAGCAGCAATAATTTATCTCTAGAGTAAATCTCGAATCTGAAAGTGCACTTTTTCTCAGAGTGACCAAACCACATTGGCTGGTTTGTATATTTTATATACAGGCATGCTCACCTTGATCTTTCATTTTAAGAATAACTGCTTAAAACAAATTTAAGTCTGATTAGAAGCTTATCCTTATATATTAAACATGCATCAAAACCAATTCCATCACATCCAGGGAAGCAGTTTAGAGGGATTCTTTATGCAGGCTGAAACGGAAAAAAATGAAGGTGAACACAGAGTAAAACAGAACCTCTAAAAAGGATCTGTTTTTGTCTTCATGCCGAAGGAAGTTCATGGAGAGACCAAATTAGAAGTGAGCCAGCACGAGTCAAGAATAGCAGGAGTTTCCTTGTCATTCAGTCACCGCTGTGCCCACTCAAAAAAACAAAGATTATTTTTAGTATAGTTTGCCATCCGTCCTTTTTCGCTCACAAATGGTAAGCTTAGGATTTGTTTTCCATAATTTTTCTTCCATTGTTTCTTGTCTCCGCCTTTCTTCTGTGCTCTTCTCATCTGCTTTGGTTCATCATCCATTCTGTAAAGGGAGACGTAAGACAGAGCAAAGAGGTTAATATAGAGGCTGCAAATCCTTCAGCACATTTACACTCTCATTCACAATATTAGACATTTGCTCTAGATGCTATTTTTGGAAACAGAATGCAAATAACAGTTTTCAGTTTCCATGGATACTAAGTAAATTTGGCAGATCTAATAAAATGTCTTATGTTGAATACTAATACAGAGTTCAATCTCCAAGAATTTTTTAAAGGATGAAAAAAAAAATGCACAAGTTCTTCAGCACCAGTACTGGAATAAAATTATGTATCTCTGCACATCTTACACACTCACTTCAGTTAAATCTGAACCTAAGGGTGAAGACAACTTTTGTCTTTCTGTGAAGGCATGAATAAATGATAACAGAATTGTTTTTTTTCCCTATTTATAATTTAAAGGTATTTTCCATTTGGCTCAGTGATTCTTAAAAATCATTTTTTTTTTTTTGTAGTTATTTTTTATTGAATTCCTGTGTTGTATCTTTAAGTTAAGATGAAGGACATGGCAAAAGTCAGCTTCAACTTCCAATAGTTCAACAGTGTTTAAAGTATTTTCTTTATTATAGTTGCAGTCAGCTGTAAGGAAACGTATTAATAATAGTAATATCTACCAGCACCAGGTTGGTTTGTGTCTTCTTTTTTCTTCATTTTTTTAGTCTGGCAAGTTCCAGAAAAGCTTAATGTGCATCAGAAGAGTTGACAGGCAAAATGCTGCCAACAACAGCTTGAAGCTCTCAGTGGATTAGAAAATTGCTCAGAGAAACAAAAAAACAAAAAAAAAACACATGTGATAGCACACATTGCACATTACATTACAAAGAGCACCATTAGGTAATAGGATCTGCCAAATGTCACTGTATTTAATGAAAACTATCTTTGTCCGCCATTGCCTGCTTTCTCTGTTTCTTCCCCCAGAATTTGACACACATAGTGAAAATGTTTTGCTTCCTCTTTATCTTTACTGGCTTAGTAGTTTCTCTATTCGTAAAGATTAAAATGTTCCATGAAAAGTCAAAGGGACGGGAACTAAAATTCAACTTGTGCCAAAAAAAGACAAATTTTATTCAAATTTACCTGCAAAACAGCTGTGGTGAACACTTCATAGCACCAGAGCAAAGCAAGGAAGGTGGCAATTTCCTTTGTTAGAAGAGTCAAATTTTTCTCATAAAAATTCTGTTTTGCCAATTTTTTCTTTACCCACACAAAGGTTGTTTTTAGACTCCACACCCTCAGTTGGATCATGTCCACAACGAGTCAAACAGCAAAACAGAACTTTTATTGAGTTAGAGAGACTGGGGTGTTCACACACTCACATGTCATGATTCAGGATTCTTCAGATTAATATTTTATTTCAACAGGTTTTTTAAGGAGAAAATAAGAATCAAATTTCGTTTTTAAATAAATGAAGTAAATAATTCACTGGTCCCAAACTGTTTTTATGGCATGTCATTATTATATAATAAATCTGTGGAGATTTGACCAGTGTAATAGTGGAAATCACCTTATCATTGCTATTTTTTTTTTACTAATTTCAATGTAACTTATTTTTTTCTAAAACAGTTTTAAAGAAATAAATTCAGGTTGAAAGACCAATAATATCCACATGTTCAAATGTAGAGGGTAAAAATAAAAGGTCGTTAGAACAATAAAAAAAATTCACCCAAAATACATTTACCAAAAACTGAAGTGCAGTAAAAAAAAAATCTATTTTAAGTTTTTTTTTACTGTTGACTCTGCACAAAATAATACATGCCCACAGTCTTTTATCAGTTATTTTACTAAATCAAGCTGTCACAGTCCATGTTTTCTAGTTTTAGGTTTAATTCTTATTTTGTTGTGTTTTCTGGTTATTTTCAGTTTTCAGGTTTTTATTTGTTGCCCTCTGCTGCCCTCTTGTGTTCTCCTTTTTTCTCTAGCCCCTTTCCTGTTCTGCTCTGTTCACACCTGCTCCCAATCTGCTCATTAGTCCTCTCTTTGTTTCAGTCTCCCATAAATACACTCTTTGTGCAGTTCCTCAGTGCTGGTTCCTCGTCTAACTTCCTTCAACTCCATCTCTCTGAGTCTTCCTCTTCGTGATTGTTTTTCCCCAGATGTCTCCTTGGTTTCTGGTTTGCTTGATTTTTGAATTTTTGGATTCCTGCCTCAGTTGTTTGTTTACCTATCATTAAATCATCAAGAAACTCACCTCTGCCTCCCTGCCTCTGCATTTGGGTCCTCAAACCTCAACCAAATCCTGACACAAGCCTTAATTTCAACGAATATAAATTCCTCTCAGCACACAAACTATTTAATAGATAAATATTTTCAAGAAGATTTTGAACATGAATGGGCAAAATGAGGAACACTATACTAAAAGCAAATCACAAATCATGACTTAGACCTGTTTTCCTCCAGTGTTTCACTTGCTGCAGACAATAGACAACTGTGGGTTTAAATTATATTACATCATTTATTTTATACAGTACCCGTAAAGTCAGAACACTGAAAAACAGGTTATAAACTGTTCAGGATATTTCTTTTTCCCACAAAAAATGACATCCAACCAACATGAGGTTTTTCATTGTGCTACACATACAAAAAAAAACTGTAATTCAGTGTACAAAATAAATAAATAAACACTAGGCTGCATGGTTCCATGCAATCCAATGTCGGCCTCCATTGCATCAAAACCGAAGGTCTCATCTGTGGCCCCTTTCTGCACCAGCTCTGATTGCTGAATGTAAAACTGAAAGGTGTTTGCCCATGTGATAAGTCGAGTTCAAAGTCTGGCAAATTGCTTTTGGTGTTTTGATTGAAAGAGTGTGTCTTTTATAAAAATAAATCTATTAAAAACCTGGATTTTTTTTTAATACTCTTGACGTTTCTGGAACAAAGATCTGTTTTAAAGCCCAACAGTTAAAGATGATTAAAGTATCCTGTCAACTATGCACACATGCTGTAGGTAATAACATGGACTTTAGAGAAGTTACAGATGTCTGCAATTTTAGACCACTCATCTAATGAAATTAATGTGAAGTGATTAATCTGAAGCACTCCAGTTGATTTTTAGATTTTTTTTTTTTAGGTTTTAATTTGTTCTTGAGAATAAATCACAGTGTTTTAACATTTAAGACAAACAGCTAAATTCTAATCATTCTGAAATGAGAAAATGCCATATTGTGTTGAAGTGTCCAAGAAAGGAAACCTACTGATTCTATAAATGTGAAAAAAAATTTAAAATTAAGTACTTGTTCTCTTGTGCCTTGGAAATAAAAGTAAAAATGAAAAATAAATAAACTTACATAAAAATTAAACTTTGTATTCAATTAAACATTGAGCTATATTTGTGATATAGCTTAATGGAAACAAACTATTTATCCATATTAGGGTTGGTTCCAGTGTTAATTTCGTCAACCATGATGATGATGAAAATATTTCGTCAACGCCCCTTTTTTCCGTGACAATGACAAGACGATAACGCACAAAAATAGTTTCCTGAAAATAAAATATGAAGAAAATGAAAAAAGGATTTTTGTCAACTAGACTAAGACTAGACGAAATTTACGATCCATTGACAAATGGACATTAAGAAATGTAATTGTTTGTAATTAATTTGTAATTGTTAATATAAGTGTTTCTTGAGCTTCATAGAAGATTACGCGTTGTTGCACTGTTTGTCCCTACACAGCGCCTATCCCACGGTGCCTCGTGCCACTTAGTAGTAGCACAGGACTAATACTCATAGCTCAACTTCGCAGTCATTGCAGATACCGGTGTGCGGTTTGTTAAACAACGCCTGGATGTATGGAGCCATTTCGTTTACAACGCGAAGGAAAACACCGGAGGAAGGACGCCATCAAAGAGTCTGCAGCTTTAAAATGGCAGGGAAGAACACAACGAATCTGAAGCAACATATGAGATGCCAACATGCTGCCATATGGAAGAAGGTAAGGAACGGGTGGGCCTGTAGTAGTGGGAACGAATGTGTGTGGTCGCGCATTGGCGGATGCATGTGGCTGTGTGTGTGTATGCCTTCCTTTGCCTGCATCTGTCTGTCTCTCTGTCATAGAAGAAAGATGTTCTACTGATACACTGGATATTAATCGTTTAAATTTCTTCCTCCCAACTAGATTCCTGACACAGTGACACCACAGACAAATCAGAGGTTGGGGAAGGAAGGGAAGTCTTTTGCAGAGATGCACCCCCACCATACAAACCTGACGCCAAACAGCAGAAAGCCCTGGAGAACACAATGGCAAAGTGGACTGGGCGTTCTGGCCTGCAAGGACCATTGAGGATGAAGACAAGCTGACAAAAGTTTCAATGTGTACAGTGTGATATATGTTAAAAAGAGAATCAGTGTGTGGAGAAGTTCTATTCTGCAGTGTTATATAAATAAAAAAGAGAAAAAGAGAAGCTGTGTGTGAAGAATTTTTATTCTGTACAGTGTGATATATATATTAAAAAATATCAGTGGAGAAGATAAGAAGCTACTTAGGAAATAGACAGCAGTTTGTTCAAATAGGGGAACATAAATCAGAGCTCTTGGAAATTACATGTGGAGTACCACAGGGTTCAGTGCTGGGCCCCAAATTATTTATCATTTATATAAATGACATCTGTAAAGTTTCAAGGGCACTGTCATTGATTTTATTTGCAGATGACACAAATGTATTTT